AGTCAGAAGGGATGCACAGTTGAGTAACTGTATGCACAATTGAGTAACTTTTGTGTCAGAGTTGCAAATTTCTTTCAGAAATGCCTGATACAGTTCACAACTCCATCAACAATGCACCAGTGTGCATATTTTCCAGCAGACCCTGTAATATTTGTCATTTTCTTTTTAGGTAAACCTTGCCAGTCTGATAGGTATGAAGCATTACATCAGAGTTACTTTAATTTGCATTTCCCAAATAATTAGTGATTTGGAGCATTTTTTCATATGGCTATTAATAGCTTGGATTTTTTTTCCCATGAGAAGTTCTTATTCATATTCTTTGTTTATCAAATAAGGATGTAGCTTGTTTCTTTACAAACCTAAACTGGTTTAATGATCACCTTTCTAAATAGTCACACTTCATCTCTCTTAATAATGCCTTTCCTTCATGTAGCCTTTTTAAAAGACCACTTAATCAATATTAATATTCATTAAGATTCTCACCTACATGAGTCATAACACTTGCCTTATATGTTGTAGTGGAAAGAGTACAAGACATAACTAATGTACTCAGAGTACAGATTGAAGAACATTTTTTTCCTTTTCTTGTTTTTTTTTCCCCTTTGGAACATGGCTAATGCAAAAGTTTGTTTTGTATGTCAATATATATTTATAATGGTTTTTATTTATTGGAACTGAAAATAAAATTGAATTAAAGCTAAAAAGATAAACAAAATTAAAAGTGGAAGTGCAGGACTTAAATTCCATGAATACTGATGTAAAATTCTGTCTCAGATGCTTACTACCTCTATGACCATAGGCAAGTCACTTAAGTTCTTTGAGCCTCATTTTCCTCATTTAAAAGATGGTAATAATAATACCTAGAGTAATTACTGCACAAGGCTGTTGAGAGGATCAAATAAGATAATGTATCAAAAGTAATATGTAAATGTCAGAGCTTTCATTATTATTATTATTATTGTTATATGACTGTGTTAGTCTTTTACATTTATTCTCCCTTCTCTGCCTTTGATTCTGTCTTTTTCTTATGTCTTTTAAAAATCTAGCTTGGTTAGTGAATTTGTATCCACATTGGTCTTCTTAACACCGTTCCTCTTGAGCATATTTCTCTTATGGAAATTTAGTTAAGATCTTATCTATCCTTCCTGAGGAAGAACTAAAAGATTCCTATTCTATGGAATATTCTTTTGTTATACTATCTTTATGTTGTTTGGATACCAAAAAAATTCAGCATTGGAAAAACTAAATTATTTTATCACTCAAGATTACCAGGAAAGCCCTTATATTATAGGGCTTTTATTTATATTTTTATTATATATAATTATATATAATATTGATATTATATATTAATATATTTATATTGTAACTTCCAGATAAGAATTTATTTAAGCTGCTGTTAATGTCTAGAAGTAATAGTACCAATAGATTCTTAGGTAAGAATAATATAAATTTACTCTCATTTAATATGTAGTAATTAATATATAATAAAATATTTCTCCCCTTCTGGATTTTTGTTCTTTGTGTAGAGTGATAGGCTAGGCAGGAGGTATAGTATCAATAAATCACAATTATTTATCAAGTACCTGTTATGTACCAGGCACTGGAAAAAGCCCTTCAGGTATAAATACAAAGAATAACAACCACTAACTCTCAAGAAGGTTGGAGTCTAAAAGTATGAAATGGAAATCTCGGCAAATGTGGGATTATTTCAGAAAATAAAATTATGTGAGAGCATTTCAAACAGACTTAAAAACTAGAATTATTAGATTCACTTGGCTTTTTTTATTTCTTTTTATCTGTGCCTAACTTCCTTTTAACCCTGCTTGGATGGACAGATGAAATATTTCCTCTTTATTTTTGGAGATATGGTGTTATTTAATTACTATTGTCACCATGGCCAATTTATATTTAGAATACCTGTATACAGTGTATGGCATGTTTTTATTAGCTTGAGGAAATATTCATATGTAAATAAAAAGAATATCTGAATTTTGATTTCCAGTAATGTCTGTTCTAAGACTATTTTAGTTTGTTTCAGACAGACCTAAAAAAAAAAGTGATAAAGGCATAAGAATTCATGTAAGGCTATTTCCTAAAATAGTAACAGAAAAGAATGAAAATATGTGGGGTGCTTTTCCAGTTGGTGCTTTTCTAGTTTCTATAATATTATGTATGTGGTCATATTATGCTGCATTAGGGTACATAGAGAGCACCTCAAATCCTTCATTTAGGAACTGAGCCAAACTAAATCTCCTCTCCATATCCATAGAAAATTCTATTCCAGGGAACTCTCTACTATTACAAATATTTCTTAATCTCTCTAGCTTTAAGATTAGTGACTAGAAGTTTTGTAGAGAGATTAGTAATATTCCACTAGGGAACCAAAACCCCAGTTTCCCCAAGTTATTTTTAAGATGTAAGTAAAATATGATTGACATTTGCTAATTTTTTTTTCCTGACTAAATGAGCTCAGATTATATTTCTTGGGTCAGATCTAGTTCAAAGGGTCCTTTATCTCAACCCCTACATAGTGAAAGAGTGAGATTATGGAAGTGATACAGATGCTCACATGGTATCATTACATTGACATCATCATTGACCTCAAGAATCTGTCCTACATAAACATAATCATTAGGCTTGTAAACAGCACAGTTTATACACTGCTCCAAATTAATCCACTATAAAAGAGAAAACCACTACGAGGCAGCTAGGTGGTGCTGTGGATAGAGTGCCAGGCCTGGAATCAGGAAAATTCATCTGCCTGAGTTCAAATCTGTACTCAGACACTTAAATACAGCTATGCAAGATGTGTGAACCTGGCCAAGTCACTTAACCTTATTTGCCTCAGTTTTCTCATCTATAAAATGAGCTAGAGAAGAAAATGGCAAACTACTTCACTATTCATCTCTGTCTTGAAAACCCCAAATTGGGTCATGGGGAGTTGGACATGACTAAAAATGGCTGATATATATTGATGATATTGATATATACACACACACATGCACACATATACATATATACATATATACACACATGCATACACACATACATATATACATATACATATACATATATACACACACATATATGCATACACATATACATGTACATATATACAAAATCCATGTATGCATATATATGAATGAATCTTTTTAGTAGTTTAACAAAGGTTAAACAAGTGATTTTCATGACATGAAGTCCACGTTTCAAATTATATATGTGTATACGTGTATAAATTTATATGTATATGTATGTACAGATAATTAGGACTATTAATTCATGTCATGAAAATCACTTTTTTAACCTTTGTTAAGCCACCACAAAGATCCACACACATACATATATGCCCACATGTATGTGTGTGTGTGTGCATATTCTTGTAGTGGTTTTCTCCTTATAGTTTCTCCTTGTTTTTTTTATGAAGATTAACAAAGTGATATTCATGACATTAATATTTCTAACATATATATGTATATATATATACACACATATATACATATGTAAGTATAATTAGTACTGTTGTATATGTGTATCCATATATCCATATTATATATATATATATATATATATATATATATATATATATATATTTATATACATAAATTAGGACTCAATTCATGTCATGAAAATCACTTTGTTAATCTTAATCAGCCATATATTGCTAAGCTTACAGTTACTGAAATCAAGAATCTTTGGCATAAGAGTGCCAAAATCTTTTGTATAACTCAATGATATTATGAGCTATACAGAGGGTCTACATCAAAAATTAACTTTGTATTCAGAAACATGTTGAATGTTAGGAACCCTCTCTCATCATGTGTGCGTGTGTGTGTGTGTGTGTGTGTGTGTGTGTGAGAGAGAGAGAGAGAGAGAGAGAGAGAGAGAGAGAGAGAGAGAGAGAGAGAGAGAGAGAGAGAGAGAGATTCTAATGTCATCCTCATATTTTCAGGGACCAACTTCTTAATGTTCCCTTAGTATTGTATTGGTGGCCTCTGAAATCATTAGCAAGCCTTCCCAATTTGTTGTTTGCATGAAACTCTCCCCTTCCCCTGTAATTATCCTGCTGAAATAGGGTGGAAACCCAGTATTATTTCTGGGCTTCAAAATTGGCCATTTCTATTTAGTTTAGTAGTTTGGACCTGGAGCTAATTCCTAAAGGAATGGGCTTTCATGCTAAGTAGTGGCTACCCTGTTAACAACTCTCGAATGATTTGCTTCACCAATAGACTTCATGGTCACCTTCCAACATTCTCATCAGACAACACCTTACATGTGTTTAAGAAATTAGTGCAGATGTTTTTTAAATAGGTGGAAAGGAAATCTTTACATTGTCAAAATGAATCTATGTGTACTGAAAATAAAAGTTTTCAGAACTGTGAAATCTAATCATCTGAAATTGTGCTTACAATTCAGTTCAAAATCAATTTCAAATCTTGTTAGAATTTGAAAACTTCTGATAGTTAATTATGTATTAATTTCTAGCACCTACTACATAAAATTCTTCATATCCTGAGAAAATGTTCCCTTAAAATGAATGCTCTGATTATTACAATAACAAACAAAAAATGCCCACCATTCCAAATGTGTTATAAAGATAATTAAGGATAGGTTACATTTGGAGAGTGACTTCCCTACTTTGTATAATTGTTCTAGAGTGCTTGTTGCTGTAGAAAAAGTATATTTAGGTGAATATCCTTATGGTTTTCCCTGAAAATATTTTTTTATAAATTAATATTTCCTTTAGCAGCAAAAATCAGCCCACAGGCAAAAACTTTGCAAAAATATATAGACTTACATTTGCATAGCAGTATTTAAGTCGGCTCTGAATTGTAAAGCACATTCAGTAACATAATTGTTGAAGATTGTCATCACATCTAAGAAAAAGTTCTATGTAAATTGTACCACTGCAATAGATTCCAAATTTTTCATCTGAAACCTGTCCTTTTCTGTCTTTCCCTTTTTGCTCTGTCTGCACTATTTATCCATCCATCGACTGACAGTGTCTTTACATCCAAAATGCAAAGCAGACAGATGGGCATCTCAGGAAAGAATATGACTAAAAGCACCAGCATCAGTGGGGACATGTGCACAATAGAGAAGAATGATGGCAGCCAATCTGATACCGCAGTGGGCACCATGGGCACCGGTGGCAAAAAGCGGCGCTCCAGCATTGGGGCAAAAATGGTAGCTATTGTGGGTCTCTCACGAAAAAGCCGCAGTACATCCCAGCTCAGCCAAACTGGTAGGAATTTTTTTTCCACATTCTTATTTGAGTTATTCACATATGTAAATCGTTGTCCTGAGTCATTTTATTATACTAATGATTTTGTCTGGAAAGCAATGTGTTTGGGTGAGGGTAAAGTTACAATTACTTTATTTTTCAGTGAAGAGAGAGCCTGTTTCACATGAAGTATGGCTACTATTGATTCTGGTTACCATGTGTTACAAATGATATAATCATTCCTTCTCTTGTCAAGCAGGAGCCAACCTGAGCTTTTTTTTACTATAAATTCACAAATACAAATGCTGTTACTTTGTTTTATAAGAGTACATGATTACTTTTCTTTGGGCCACCCTTTTTATAAATTTCTGTGATTTTTCTCATGTAGGAACAAGCCAAAGTAATTTTGCTCTCAATGAATTTCTACCTTGAAGATGATGTCTCATACTCCATGGGAATGATGTAGCTATGTTATTGATAATTTGACTTCCTTTTCAGCTTATAAACAACATTTTCCAATACTATAAATTTTCTTTACTACAGTTTCTGTCATCCTGATCATATTGAAATATTCTCCAGGAACAAGATGGAATATTATATTTTGTTTTGTTTTGTTTTTTTGCTAACAGCTGGGATATTTAAATCTTGGGGTACTTCAACATCCAGCTTCCAAATCACATCTGCTACAATAAATTACAGACAATACTCCTACTTAGAAAAGCTGTTGTTAGCAATTAAAGAATTTGTGAATCAAAGCAGTGTATTTTTCAATGAGGTGTTGGTTTATAATTATGCTGTAAATCCTTAGTATTTGAAATAAATATCATGTTTTATACTTAATAAACAAGCAAAAGCAAGTAATGTAGTGTTAGATTTAGAGAAAATAAATCACAGGCAGCTGTATTAACACTAATTTGTATTTAAAAACTAGGACTCATATACAGAAGGGAGGAATCTAATTCCATACTGCAAAATAATATTGATTCAGAGGATTGATCAGCTTAGGATGCAAAGGATCTTGACGATCAGATGTTTGTGCACTTTGGAATTTGAATGACATGAAATGAATTTGATAATGGAAGTTTTATTTTTTAAAAATTTTATCTATAATTCACTAAACTGTAAAATAGATATATACACATATATTATTTACTTATATATTCTTTTATATATTAGAATATTACTTGAAGCATTTTAAATGCATTATGTTCTTTCTTATACTTCTTACACAAACATAATTTTGATTCATAAAAAATTGAAATTATGTTTAAGTAATATTATCATAGAAACTACTGCTGCAGGTTACATTGGTCAGAATGCCATGGTCAAAAAAATAAGTATGACTTTAACTTTTAAGAATTTATTTATATAATTGTTCATATGTCAAGGAAAAAAATATGCTTAATTAGCGTTTTTCTATTTAAGATATTGAGCTTTAAAAAAAAACACCTAAAAGCAGTTATTAATGAGGTTTCAGAGCAGAGATAGTATAGTATTAAATTCATCAAGTAATAAAATTCCATTATAAGTGGCCCCAAGAGCAAACTAATGTTGCTATATTACCAGGAATCTGGTACTGTTATCTGGCCTAAATGAGCCCACTGGCTGTGAGCTGCCCTTGACTGGCAGACAGAGGCCACTATTAACAGGTACAAGGCATGATGCTGTGAGACAGATTGGGCCCTGGGCTTGCTTTTGATCTTCGGTGGCTAAAAGGGAGACAACCATATTTCTACCAAATAGGGGTAAGGATATACACATAGTAGAAACAGTCATTTTGTGATTGAATGGGTCATGGAAGGAGACATGTGGAACCTTCCTTGCCATGGAATTGGGAATTTCATACTTGCCTTGGAAGGCAATCATGTTTCATTACAGTTAAAAATATATCTTTGTTTCATTTTTCTACCATACCTCAGCTTTTGATGTTGATCAATGCTTTATGAACTACAGAGTAGAAGACTAAAAAAAGTTGGCAAATGTGAGTGCCAACAGTTAGTTTTGAAAGATCAAAAGCAGAATAGAGATAACACAACTGGAAAAGGGCAAACATTGTCTATGTGCTCAAAAAAGAAAAGAGAATGGGTTCTTCAAACTATATGAAAATAAAGTTGACTTTGATTCCTGGCAAAATTCTAAATATATTACTAAATGGATGCTTAGTAAACATCCAGAAAAGGAAGCAGTGATCCCAAAGAGCAAATATCGCTTCATCAAGAATGAAACATGCCAGACTAGCTTTGTTGCCTTTTTTGATAATTTTATAAAATAGCCAACAGTTTCTCATGATGTTCTTGTGGAAATGATAAAGTGATATTGGCTATGCACTGGTACAATTAGATGGATTCATTCTTAAATTAATGGTTAAATAAATTGAGCAAGCCTAGGCAAGAGAAGGTTTATGGAGGGCATAACAGCTACATCCAGATGTTTTAAAGGCTGTCCAGTGGAAGAGATTAAATTTCTTTTCATCTGCCCCAGATAGCAAAAACAAGAGAAATGCATAAAATTTGCAAAGACATGAGTATGATAGAAAATTTAGAACCAGAATTAGTATTGGAGGTCATCTAGTACCATCTCCTTGCTTTACTGCTGGTGCAATAGGCTAATTTAAGTGATTTATCCAAGGTCACAGTGAGAGTTCAGGGATTTGAAGCAAGTTCCTCTAACTTAAAATGTTATGTACTTTCTAGATGGAATCAGACTCAATATAAGGGAAAACTTTCAAACATTTGAACTGTACAAAAGAGGAATGTGCTGCTTCAGGAAGGAGTGGGTTTCTGTCTTTAAGCAAAATCTAGGTAACTATCAGGTATGTTGTAGATAGGATTCATGTATAGGTATGGGTTGGATTCAATGGTCTTTGAAGTTCTTTCCAACTCTTTAGATTCTTTGATTTGACATAGTGTTTGTATGTTTTTTTTAATAGTTACCTCCTTCAAAACATTTTCATTACAAAAATTTTAGATGTACTTACTCATATTTAATTCAATTCAACAAACTTTCACTAAGTGCCTACTATGTGCAAGACAGTGTATTAAGTAATGGCAAGCAATAAAAAGACAAAAATGAAACAGCTTGTCCTTAAGGAGCTTACCTTCCACTTGGTAAGGCCAAGATGTATGTCGAGGTGGGGGACAGGGTAAAGGAATCAAAGTGGAAGTGGTGTAATAGAAGATGGATCTCTGATATTTAGTAGCTGTGTGATCCTGGGCAAGTCACTTAACCTCTCTAAGCCTCAGCATCCTCACATGTGTGTAGATATAGATATAATATAAATGTAGATATTTCAAACTTAAAGGACTATATAAATGCCAGCCACTATTATTCAGTAGAATATAAGCTCATTAAGGGCAATGACTGTTTCATTTTTGTCTTTGTAGCCCCATAAAATATCCCCAGTCCCTTGGCGCATAATGAGCACATGATAAATGCTTGTTGAATTAAATTGAATACAATACTTACACAAACAAGTAAATACAAAGTGCTTTCAAGAGTCTAGGAGAGGCTGGGATGAGGTAGGGGAGTCAGGAAGGTGGAGGAGTAGTCTCTTGAGCAGGGCTTTGAAGGAGCTAAGAATTCTGTGAGGAGAGAGTGAATTCTAAACATGGAAGACAACATGTACAAAGACAAGAAATGGAATTTCATGTTCAGAAATTAGCTATGAGGCTAGTTTAACCTAAACAGTATAAGAGGAGGTTTATACAAAATAAGACTATAAAAATAGGGTGCCAGATTATGGAGGACTTTACATAACTAGAGAATTTTTCTTATTTTTTATCCTAGAAAAAATAAGAAGCCATTAAAGAGTTTTAGAAGTAAAGTAATATGATATTCCTAAAACATTAATTTTATAAAATAATTAAAATATAATAAAATATCAATTTTATCTTCTTATTTTTATTTTAATAGATTTTGTTGATATCTTTTGTCTTTATATCTCAGTCATTTCAACACACACACCCTTCAGGATAAATACTGCCTTGTTACAAAGAAAAACAATAAACAAAAGATTCAAATACAGCAACTGCAGCTGACAACATATGCAAGATTTTTATGGTTTATCTTATTAGTCTGCTATCTCTGCCATGAAGAGAAAATGTATTTCACTATTTTTTTCAAGGACCCCTATTGGTTTTTCAGTTACTCATAGTTGAACTTGTTTTAGTGGGTTTTTTAATTTATAATGTTGTACTCGTTATGTATAATGTTTTCTTGTTTATTTTACTCAGCGGCAGTTTATACAAAACTTTCTGAGTCCATAGATTCCTCTTATTCATCATTTCTTATTACACAATAATTATTCCATTATATTCATATACCATTTTTTTCAGTTATCACCTAATAATAACCCACTTTTCCCTATTTATTTGCTACCATACAAAGTAGTATTTCAGATATTTTAGCATATATTGAATCTCTTTTTTTGTATGTCGTTGACTTCCTTAGCACATATACCTAATGGTAGGATCAATAAGACAAAGAGTATGGACAGTTTAGTCACCTTTTTTGCATAATTCCAAATTGACACTCAGAAATTAGACAACTTGACCAACAGTTCATCGATGAACCTGTCTTCTCACAGCCTCTCCAACATTAACTTTTCCCATCTTTTCTCATCTTTCCTAGATTTTCATAGTATATGATGAAGCATCAGAATTATTTTAATTGTAATAAATAATTCTCCCCCTAGAAATAGCTAGGATAGAGCTGTGACACATATTTTATCTTGTTGACTCTAAAGAAATTATTATAGAATGACCTTTTATATTAAGGTCATATAAATATTTTGAGTTTCTTGCTTTAGGAGTAATGTTATTCTAAACATAATTTCTGGCGAGATGTTTTTGAGTGTTCTCAGTAGTCTTGTCAAAAACGGAGTTCTTCCTCTAGTAATCTATATTCTAAAGTTTATTAGATACCACTCTATTTAAAACATGCTGTTTTATACTGCTCCTAATCTTGCTTATCTTGTCTGTCCCTCTTATATACACATATATACTTTTTCTGTTTTTAATTAG